TTTGCTGAAACTTGGCCTATGGGGGTTATTCGACATGCTGATCACAAAAATGAGACTCCCTTCGCATGAAAAGTCCTCTTAAGTAAGTCAATAAATTGATTTCGTCTTGGCGACAAGTGAATACGATATCGGTGTTCACTGTTTTACATTACCCTAATGTGCGAAGCTTAGCGAATTCTGAGGTTTCGAGCTTAGGTAGCGACAAAAATCCGTCCCTACTTGACGCATTTGACTTGTTCTACGTCTCAAGGGCGCCTTATCTTGATTTCTCCTTAGATTTCACTTCTTTTTACTGATTCTAATGTGTCCTTCCAGATAGATGCTACCTATAATTTCTCTTTATATGTTTGATTGAGGTTTTGTACGGCTGTACGTTTTCCAAAAACTGTGGAAACTCGACTTCAAAATGCTCACATTTTTTCGCTACATTAAACAAAAGTCAAACGGTTTGTGCAAGCTTACAGCATACATCATCTTAGTCCACATGATGCCAGAGAACGACAGTGCTAAATCAAAAAAGAAAAAGTGGGAAATGTTGCAAAATTTATGTGCCATCCTAATATATAAATTCTAATTTATAAAACGATAACATCCGAAACGACGAAGAAAATTACCCATAGCCTTCCACCTTGAAGCCCCCTTACAACGTTGCGGAGAGGAAGACGTCGAGAGTGTAAGCGCGCGAGGCATCACACTCTCTTGCAGAAGTTTCGGACCGCGACAAGATTGAGTTTATACGATGAACTTCCTATGGCGCAGAAAAGCGCGAGACGAGAGAGTGATTATGAAATCATGGATTGATATCCGACGACAATGCAAGTATGCTTCGAATTACTGTAACCGGACTTATTTCCATTTCGACAGTGAACATGTCAACATCGTACTACAACGCTGACATCGGCATCGCATTTCTGCCATGTTGTTCTTAGTTCGCAATCGAGATCCTCACATCACCTACAATCCTCGCTACAGTAATACTCACCCCGCTTCAGCCGCTGAAATAGCTAACGTTTAACTAATTTTTTGAGAAATAGTCAAAATTTTTCAGAACTTAACATTTTTTCAAGCGGTTCTTTTGCTTTTTCATTCAAGTGTTCTGTGGAATCTTCACAAAATCCCAATTTGAAAGCATCTTAACCGCAAAAAACACACAAAAAACACAAAAACACAAAACAAACGCAAGACTTCCTCCCTCTGTAACTGATCAGTTTTTGGATCAAAAGGTTTTGTTTTTCTCGCGATTTTCATGAAAATCGGTGAGAAAAACAAAACCTTTTTCTCGTGCTCCCGGTGAAGACCCAATGGAAGCTGTGGTCTCGCCGGTTAATAAGTTTCGGACCGCGAAATCGCGCGCGGCAAAATGGCGTGCAGCACCATGCGAAGCACTTGTTTCAGTTGCGTTTTCTCGAACCCCTTTTCAAAAGTACTTGAGCTAAGTGTTGTGTCCGCGCTGCTATTATCCCTTGCATCTACTTTAACCTTTCTCATCATTTCGTGTTCTTCTTTGTTAGGAGCGTTGTTCATGGGGCTTATTTTAGGATCAAGCAAAACTTTTCACGATGAAAGGAAGGGAAAGGTCAGCTGTGTCAGGCAAATCTGCTTCGGCGATCTCATTCTCGCGTTACCCACTAAAATTTTGGGGTAAGAGATCCTGAGAAGATTAATACAAACATCGAGGGAGATTACGAAATATGTTGACTAATATATTACTGTGAAACACTACTTTTCTATAAAGATGAGAATCAATGTTAATAAAAACCATAAAACACAAAACAATGTCAATAAAACATGTCATAATCAGTAGAAATTTTGAAAAATGAAGGTTTAGCGTGCAGTATGCGTGAATCTATCGTCATCTTTCGCACCAACGTGACCCTTGTGCTCTCCGCTTTCTCTGTTTCCAGTATTTTGATGGTCAGAAAAGTTGGTACGCATGCGACCTTTAGCTGAGTTACGGATGCATCCATATCCATCAGTCATGTAGTCTTCATTCTTATCATAGGGAGCAGGATGAGTGTCTTGATTTTCGTGCCCGTCATTATTATTTCTGTCACTTCTGATCGGAGTGGTACTGCGACTCCGGGAATGAGAGATTGCAGATGAACTTTGACTAGCTGGATGAGCATCATCTCTTTTTGGTGGTGGGCTTCCACTCACTGAAAGGGAATACGACCTACTACGGCGTAAACTGGCATCTGTGTTGGTCTTTTTAGCTTGCGGAGGTCTGCTGCTGGCTGATTTTGAGTAGGAGGTAGCACCGCAACACGAGCACACTCGCCTTTATTTTTGAGCGGGCTTCGACTCTCCGATCGAGAATGGTAACGTCCGCGTGGAGAGTTGCGACCTAAGCTGCTGCCAACGGGCGACGTTGGCTGGTATGCACATTGGGGAAGAAAGACTCTTTCATCTGAGTCTGTAAATTCAGATGAATAGACTGAATAATTACTCCACACTGGAGAGTCCGGCTCAAGTGGCACTAATGGCGTACCGTCAGCAATCACAGGAATCAAATTTTGATTAGCGAAGCGACCAAAGTCAACGCATACTCGATACTCTTGGTCATTCAGAGGGAGGGTAAAGACGGATCTCAGACACTGGATATGTCCCATTCCCGTAGGATCGTCTAAACACAGCCATTGGTGACTTTTGTTAACATGGTAGGCATTGCAAAAATCGCATTAAAGTTAAAATGCACTTGTGTTTTGAACGATTTTTAGATGTGAAATGCTTGATGTTTAATTGCACCCATCATGCTCATAGGGCGATTGTCCACGCAACCTTTGAAGTTGCATGCGAATGCTCGTATCCGAGAAGTTTCTGAGGAGGTGCTGCACGAAAGCTGTCGTTGCCGATAGTTGCGCTGGCGGATAGGTTAGTTTGTGATAGCTATCATGATCTCAACCCTTAAAGGGTTTTTCAGAGAACGTTGTGATCTTTTCGCTACTAATCTCCTTATTTCAGGATCGAAACTACCTCTTTGACTGAGCCAAAGTTTTCTTTGGTACAGCTTGGGTAAGTCTCATAATGCCTCTTGCCTTGTAACAACCTCATTACAATTTCAAACCTTTTTGGTATTGTGTACATATGATTTTCCATCCCAGGTTGCTTCGTTTTCTCCTGCACCTCGAAACTATCTCTTCATTTGAGCCAAATTTTCCTTTGGTACAGCTTTTGTTAGTTGTTATAAAGCCTCCTGTCTTATAACGACATCATTAAAATTCCGAATCGTCATCAGATGTGTGCATATAATTTATGCATTCCACGTTGCGTTTTTTCTTGCACCTACGTTCAAGTCTGGCAATTACCGTAACGCACCCAAGACAAGTCTTATAGTCTTTGGAGCTTTTTACTAGAGCATTCGTACGAAAATTTGTGAAGGAATTGTCACACATAAAAATAGCTGTTGAGCTTTACATGATATGGCTTTATCATTCTGTATTTATCTGTTTCGGCTCTAACCTTAGGTACTTCCGGTGTCGCAGTGGCCGATGATCTATCAGAAAGATTGCGGTTGTACAAAACTCTGCTAGCTGAAAGCGATAATGAGGAATCATCATTGGAGTCTTCCGAAACTTCGATCACAGCTCTCGTTGTCGCCCACCCAGAAAACGAGTCCGATCTCGAACTCAGCGATATCGAGGATGTCGAAGTGGATGCATGGGGTACCCAATGGACTTCCGAAGTGCATCTACCGAAGAGGTTTCAATTTACCTGGAGCGGAGGCGTGAAGGATTCCAATTTGTACTTACTAAGAGATCCACTGCAGTTCTATCGAAGTTTTATCACAGCCGAGTGGAACTTATTGTAGAAGAAACGAACGAATCGTTATGGTTCAAAGGAGTATGATGATTGGATAGTTTTTAACGAACACATTTTTTTT